CCTTGCTATTGGAAAATCATTTACACTAACTAGTTTACTTGTAAGTCTTAGCATTCTCTACATTCCACTTGGCATGTGCTAAAAGTAGTCTGGGGTACAAAACTTCAGCTATAGTATTTTCTAACTAGATCAGAAATATTAAAAATTGACAGGCAGAAAAACACACAAATGAGAATGAAGGCAAATGACAGTAAACTACAGTGTTTTTTGTTTGTTTTTTAAGATTTTTATTGGGGAATTGAGGGTATGGGAACAGCGTTGGGGAATTGGGGGAAGGGGAACAGACAAGTTGCTGTCGTTTTGTTCTTCAGTCTAGCTGTGGAGGACGTTGCTTCACTGGCCCAAGTTGGCACCATCATTGCGCTCTTCCTGGGTGAGGCAGATCAGTCACCAGCTTCTGGACAGCCGCTCACTGCGGCTGCTGGCAGCTCACACTGGCTGCTGGCCACTCATGCTGGCTGCTGGCTACACACAGTAGCTTATGGCAGCGCACTGCCACAGTAGCTGCAGCCTACGCTGTGGCCGGCGACTCACAGGCAGCCCAGCTCCAGGTTGAGCTTTCGTTCAGCATCTTAGCTGTAGAGGGCAGTGTCACTGGCCCTCATATGTGGGATCCGAACCGGGGCCCTCTGGCGTCCCAAGCCAGTTCTTAACCATCGCATCACTTGGCTGGCCCAGTAAACTACAGTTTTTAAGTCATGTTGAATGATAACTATAAAAAAAAGTCCTGCAGTTTTGAAGCATAAGTCACTATAGGAAAACAAGGTAATATGGGTCACAACGCTTTGACATAAGGCGACTACATACAACAAGAGGGGGAAAGGGGATGCTATTTCTGTACTTTTTTTCACTTATATTATGCAAATAATTTTCCTACCTTTTACTTTTATGTTCCTATGATTTCAAATTCAAGGCTTGTATGGATTTCATATGGGGAAGAATTCTCAAATGTGATACAACACTGACGAAACAGAAGCATGTCACGCCTTCAGGGCTAGGCCTGAATTACTCAGATAATTGCCCCATTGCAGCTCATCAAAAATGGAGGCTTGGCCTCTATGCGTTTTTAAACAAGGTATAATGGGATAATTACTATAAAGCCTCATGCCCTATCACAAGACTGGCTTAAAACAAATAATTGAAAGACACTATCAATATAATAAAGCCAATTGTTTGTATCTAACAACGGTAACCTTGGTTGATACAATAGCAGTTTATAGACAGAGCACACTTCTCAAACTTCAGAGAGCATAAGAACCATCTGGAAAGCTAGTTAAAACACAGATTCCTGGGCCCGAAGCCCAGAGATTTTGATTTGGATTTTAATTCTTTGTCTGTGGCTGCTGCTGGTCTGCAGATCGAGAATTGGAGTGGCACTGGCCTTGAGTACCTGTGGGAATGCCCATACAGGTATTTCTCACTGTAGTCCACGCTGGCATGAATAGGGGTTTTTAAGCCAGACCCACGTGCTTAGTGGGAGCGACCCCGCGCATGTATTCCCAAGTTTGCCAGTGATCCTACCTGTCAGCTAGGAAATGAAAATACTGAGGCACTTTCTAGGACTTACAATTTCTTTCAACTCTTGGCAGAAGGTTAACACAGATACTCTTGGGGCGTTAGGTCGGCTATGTTTACTCCACATCAAGGATCTTGGGAAACTTTATCCAAATTACTGTTGAGATTGTTTATTTCAGAGCTACAGCAACCAGATCCGCCTTACGTCTCTGGAGTAGGAGTCGCTTTGTGTTGCAGAGGCAGTGGCTAAAATAGACCAGACATTGCCATCAGCTGTTTGGCCATTGTGCTTTTTAGTGGCATTACAGCATATTACAGTATTTTTCTTCGCAGCTTACACATTGAGCAAACCCAGACATCCGGAGATCCTAAAATGAAAAGTCTGTTTCCTCTTGCCTTGCCATTTGCCAAGCAAATGCCGTCAGACAGCACATTCTATATATTTCGAGCACATGAAATGGCCCTTAATGTGTTGGCAACATCTGTCACAAAACACTCTTCAGTCTGTGGATTAAATGCATCGGACAGGAATGGATTCAACAGTATAGTTAATGAGGCACAATTAGAGCTGAGGGCACTAGTTTTTTCTTAATAACCCCATAAGGCTTATCTTCTCCTTTTTTTGTTCTTTTTCTTTTTCTCTCTCCGTTTTTTTTTTTTTTATGTCCTATACAGTATAAAGGAGATGCTGTAAACTTTGATGAGACAAACACCATTCTTTGTTGTGGATACCCAACACTTCAAACTCTTTAAGTTGTCTTTCCCTGATAAAGTGTCATCAAGAAACTTTGTTTCTCCAGGGGGTTTCTACAGATTGTTTCTAATATTTCCAACTGACTCACTGATTGTAAAGTTCTTCCATCCTTTGAGACCGTAAAGGAATTTCTGTTCTTAATAATTTGCAGCAATCCTTTTTTTTATTGACCATTTTTACTGAATATGAACAAGAATGTATGTTCTCACATGCCCTCCCCCAAGAATTATTATTTTATTATTCATCTATTTGCAATAACTGGGCTGGTTAGAAAAATAATGTCCCCTGACATTGTTTTACACTCTGTGCCTAGTGCTGCTATTTGCGATTTCAAATTATGACAAATCCCTTCCCACTCTCTTCCCTTTGATTGTCAGGTTTTGGGTTTATACACAGAAGCAGCACTCACTCTGTGGCATCTATAATAAAATGAGTCTCCAAACACTTGCTGAGAAAGAATTCTTTAAAGAGACCAGACAATGCTTCCTAAATTAATTCCAAATGCAGACCTTCACTCCTTGTATTCGTATGCATGGATTTTGATTCATCTGTCACATACTCACATATCTCATTTGCATATTGCCTCCCAAACAAAGACTAATGTCTACCTTTTGGTACCACTGGGGAGTGAGATCACCCCTAGGGCACTGAGAAGAAAGTATTCTCTACAAACACAATTTGGTCTTTATCTCTGATTTATGACCAACAATCCTTTATGTGGCTAGAGAAGGCTGATTAGAATTGAGGGCTTTCCAGGATTGTGACAGTTTACCTGTATGTTCAACTCCCTAGAGGCAAATGTTCTAAAAATATAGACTAACTCTCAAGTTCAAGAAGAGTATTGAAGTCTTACACCTACTAAGGATTAAAATGTTGTGAAAGCGCCACTTTTTGGTTGGAAAAAAAAATGTTTTAGGACTTGTCTTAAGTCTGAAGTTATTGTATAATTTTTCTCTAAGTGATCTAAGGAGAACGCCCATTCTTCATGACATGTTTATTTCTGGCCTGACACAGCAAATACTTGAAATGAAGGCCAGTGTGGTTTTTTTTGTTGTTGTTGTTTGTTTGTTTGTTTTTTTAATATAACATGCAGATGCTTTTGTTAATTCAGAGAGCAGGAAGAAAAAGTGATGTGTCTCTGAATTATAAGTAAAAAGCTTACCTCATTGTGTCTCCCATTCAAGAAGCAGCCTAATGAATGATAATTCACAGAAGCATCACAAAATTCAGGCAACACAATGCACAACAATGTAAATGTGTATATTTACAAGCTACATATAGAATAACATATATGTTTTCTGATTGATTCTCACTCAAAAGCCCTAACTCCTCTTGGGACAAAGGTGACTGCATATCAAGCATTTCCAAATATTTGTCTCTATTGCTAGTCTCCCTCCATAGTAATGGGGAGGCACCCATAAAAAATAATGAGTGATAGCCTGCTCTTTTAACCGATACAGTCAGGAAGCTGGATTTGGATAATAACATGAAAAACTAATCATCCTGAGTAAAAAAGTGCTTTAGGAAATATTTGCTGTGGGTAATCAGTTTGAGATCTGAGATCCTGCCATCTACATGAATCTGTCCTAGTTGTATTTCTTCAAAATGTTTACTTATATGGGAAATAAAGTCACATAATGAAAAATATTTAGAGAATTAAAAAAGCATCCAGATACATAATCATTTTATTATTACCACTGAGTATTTAAATGAGTTGTTATAGCTCAAATTTCTGCCTTTATCGTCATCTTCAAAATAAAACATTGGAATTATAGAATATGAAAGATTCCATCCAACCCTAGATTTTCATTTTTTTTTAATATTGTTCCATTCTCTAAGTTCATCAATTAAGGCAGAATAGTAGAATAGAGGTTAAGGAAGGGAAGGGTAAAGTGGCCTGGCTCTGAGCTTCAGTGGCCATATGATACTTTGTATATGGACAGAAGTTTTTTGAAATGTCTATCATTTCTTGCCTTCCCAACAGTTATAACAAATCCAAAAGCATGTTCTAGAAGTAGGCTTTTCTTCACACCTGATGAAACACTTGATATTTTTACATTTTAAAAAATTTTTAGCTATGTTGCATTTGACCAGCATTTAACAGTGTTCAGCATTCTTCTGTCTTGTGGCAAAAGCACCAATAGAAAGAAAGTAGGTCAAAAGATTTGGAGGAAAAGACATGAGAAATAGTAAGTTTAATTTTTATAACATTTAGATTATATTTTAATATGTCCTTCAAAGAGAACCAGTCAAGAAACCCATTTTGACCAGTGTTATTCCCTTGGTAGATTGTATTGATGTGATCAAGAATTAGCCACATAAATCACAGATAAATGGCATAACCCAAAAGTCTTGTTCAATATCAATGAAAACTAGAGAATTTCCATAGTATTCATATTTTTTAGTCAGTGAAGTTGGTAATTATAACAGTGAGAAGAGGGGATGTATACCATATCTCAGAATACATTCTACTTTGAATATTGGAATTGTCAATGACAGCCATTTTAGACACATCACAGATAAATCACATCAGAAGAAAGGAAGTTGCTAATGCTATATATTTAGATGAACATAAAATGACATGGATGGATGTAAACATTCTACACAGTTGAATTTAGCCCTTTCAGTAAAAAGTAAACACATGTTAACACGGTTCACTGTGTTTATTTTTTTTTAAAAGTTTCCTTCCCTGTGGAACGTGTTTTCAGATGGACATTGTGTGTGCTTGTAGGGTGCTGTGATCACGCCGACAATGGACCATCCTATGTCAATGCAGCCAGCGAATATGATGGGCCCCCTGACACAACAGATGAATCATCTTTCGTTGGGCACAACAGGAACGGTGAGTTAAAGCGTGTTGTTTTGTTTTCTTGGATTTTTTCAATAAGATGCAAGGCTCTGTTTTCACTGGCATTATCAGCAAAACTGGTTCTGTACCATTAACTAAGACACCTTTCAGGTTCCTGTATGAATAGGTGGCATTCCGCATGCATATTTAATTCTGGGACACATTTACTACATTGACAAGACTGAAGGTTCTACTGTGTTGCATTTGAATTTGGGTTACTTCTTGTTCTTATGATACAATGTGCCAGGTATAATGTCTGTGTTGGGAAAAGTGTCTTGATGCATGCACCTGCAAATTTAGACCTTGTAATTTAATACATTTGAGCCTGTTTTCCTTTTCCCAGATGCTTACCACTTCAGCTAATATATCATTCCCAGGTTATTCACAAGTGGGGGCCAGCCCTGACTATGACTAATACACAGGACTTTTTATTTATGTTCAATGTTTAAATCAATAAAAAGTAATTGAGAACCTGACACAATCGAGTTCTTTTCACCTTTCCTTTGAATATGTCTACATACATGATGTTGAAAAATAGGAATGTAATGTACTTGATCTTTTTTTATAGGTTGGGCTATTTTTGAGTAGTCATTATTTTTCTTTAGGGAAGAAAAGTATATCGAAAAATACCTATCGCAACCTTGGTTTTATGTCAATGAGACATTTGAAATCATTAGCAAAACTTTATTTAAAAAAAAAATCTATTCAAAGACAATGCCCCAAAACTCAAGACGGCAAATGTCTAAAACAACCTGAAATACCACAACTTTGTTAATTACCATTATAGAAAACAATGAAAAACCTCAAAGTCAATGTCTCACATGACACCAGTGGTAACAGTTTTTATTTTATTTTTTTATAAATGTTAATACAGAGAATTTTGTCATTTTTAAAGGTGTAGAAAGAATAAAATGCACTTTCTTTTGACTGAGGCAGCTTAAGTATTTTGGAAACAGCACTAGATTAGGAGTCAGGGATTCTGGATTCAAATCTTGATAGAAATCAAATCTTTGGATAAAAATCTGTGTTTCTATCTGTCCTAGGGAAAATAACATCTTCCAGCCTGAATTCCCCTCTCTGTCTAGTTGAAGTATTGAACATGATGATATATGAGGCCCCTTTGACTATGTGCCTCTATGTCTTTAAGCCTACATATCTCACAGTCACCACTTCTGTGATTCTTTACAATTATGCTGGCATCATCTCCAAATATCTACATATATCATGAACACTGGCTACATATTGGATATTTTACCTTAAAGCAATCGCTTGCTTGCCACATAGATGTGTTGAGTCAGGCTCCTTGGAATATAAGAAGTTTCTGACATCTCCACGGAGGTCTCAATAATCCGCTCTAAATAGAAGAAAGTCCTTATAATTAATGGAAAGAGTCACTTTGTTTCAATAAATAAATTTAGTTTTAACATAACTGAAGTACCTATCTCGAAGGCCTCAGTTGCTGAACCTATAAAAAGCAGTTGCTGATACTTGACTTCTCTGAAAGCTTGGGCAGGCAGGGTCAAATGATTTCTTAGGTCTTTGACCTAGGCTTTTAAAAGTCACGTCTAGGACGACATTTGACTCTACACTGTGGTACAGCTAATTTTCACCAGGGAGATAGGATTTAAAGGTAATATTTCTAGAGCTTTTAGTGATGGGTAAGGATTATTTGTAGTCATTTGGCTTACTTACTAACAAAACAGACCCGAAGAATAGGATTGGGAGGCCTAACGTTCCTCAAGTGCCCACTCTTAATTTTCCTTCATATCAGCCTTAACCTCCTTAAGGGATCATAAATTCTCAATAAGTGAAATATTACAATCTTACATCAAATGACAATCTGGAATCTGATAAGTCATAATGCAAAGCATAGCAAAAAATGCTTTATAAATCCTACTCATTTGAATCAAAAGTAAAGCCAACTGACTTGCTGAAGTTCAAATTTGCAAACAAGAAAAAATAGTAGAGCTAAGTTTAATTGAGAATATGGCTAAATCCTTTAGGGAACTGAAAGAATAAGCTAAAATACACAGAACAGATTCAGAATTATAATAGTTATTGATTCAATAACATATATTATGATTAGTATTTGAGCATTTTCAAAAAGAACACATTTATACAAGACCACAATTTTTACTCAGCTGAAAATAGCCAAATTATCAAATAATGATACATACCCCCTTTCTTTCTTAGAGAGCAAAAGTTTTAAGCATGTGGCTTATTTTTAATACTAAGTTTCCTCTAGTTTTTTTTTTTTTCATTCTTTTCTGCCTTCAAATTTGTACTAAATAATGCTTAGGTATACTAAAAGATTTGTATAAATTGATGCTTTGCAAAGGTTTAAAATTTCATAAGGTTCTAGAAAGGCAGAGAGAAACAGTATTACTGTGTTGATATATTCAATAAAATATCACTATATATGTAGTGTCCAGATTGCTATTATACTTTTGTCTTCAACTGTCACTCTTATACTTTAATACACCATTATAGATTCATTTGAGTGAGTTTTTGATTGGCATTTGGAGTGACTATCAAATTTTCCCATCTATTGCATCTTTTCAAAGTACTTTATCATTGCTGGGAAAGTAGCTTGTTGTCATGGAAAGGACAGTGAGCATGAGAATCAAACTTGAGTTCAAAGCCCTTATTAGCTATGCATGTTTAGGCAGGTTATTTAATCTTTCTGAACTTTTATTGTCTTTTTTACAAAGTAGGAAAAATACCATTTATATCCCAGGGCAGTTTCCACTGTTAGATGGAATGACACATGTGACATACCTAGGATAATGTCTGACACCTACCGTGTTTCCCTGAAAATAAGACCTAACCAGAAAATAAGCCCTAGCATGATTTTTCAGGATGCTTGTAAAGTAAGCCCTACCCCAAACGTAAGCCCCAGTTACGGTTGTCAGCCAGACATGACTATTTGAATAAATGTAGATTTTTGTACATGAATAAATGAATAAATGTAGATTGTTGGAGCAAAAATTAATATAAGAGCCAGTCTTATTTTCGGGGAAACACGGTAGTAGATGCTTATCAAATGAGCCATCCTTAACCCTTACCTCCTGTGGTGGGGATCTTGTCCACCTCACCAGAAGGGGCGTAGAAAACTATCAAGTCCACAGCACAGCTCGTTGGCCTGCTCTAGTTCATTTGGCATAGCTTGCTTCTTTCAAGTTCCCACTTCCTTAGCGTCGAACATACTCTTCCAGAGTCTTAAACCCTAAAGTCCGTAGAGGCCAGTCAAGTCACATTAATGAATAAAACTGACCGAGTTCAAGCAAAAAAAAAACCTTAGAAATATACAATCAAATGTGGTCTGTATCTACCTATGTCATATAATATACATAGACATGATATCAGAGATTATATTTTAAATTAGAGGTATTTTTAACGCAATGCTGATAACTCTGCCTGAGTGTTGGATGAACAGTAGGGAAACGTCAGGCATCTGACACCTGGGACACAACGCCTTGTCTAAGAGGGCGATCACTACTCAACCCCAGGTAGCTGTTGGTGCATAGGCACACAGAGCTGGGGTGGCCGCATCTTCCAATTTTTTAATATAAGCTAAATATTTGGATTTTAATGGGAAATTTCCCTGTATTTGAATATTGAACCCCATTTGTCCTAAAAGCTCTCAGATTGTGACTCCTGCCCAGAGTTTTCCTAGTTCTCCGCTGACCTCTCTGGCCATTGCTTCTTCTTTTCTTTCACAGGCTGCTAAGCCAGGGCTTCATTTTTTTACTTACTTCTCATTAAAACATCATTTCCTAAGCAATCTCATCCACTTTCATGGTTTTGAACTCTGCTTGCTATGCCAAAGACTCCTAAATCTGAGACCTCAATGCTAACCTCATCTTAAAATTTTAGACTGATTTACCCAATTACTTGATAACGATTACCATGTAAATCTCCCTCCGACATCTCCAAGTCAGCATGACGCAAACTAATCGTATTAGCTTCCTCTCCACTGACCCCCTTCTTATACATTCCTGCTTTTTATTTCCTCTCAAGCCAACCTCATGACCATTTGCCCAGGTAGACAAATGCTACCTCTAGGACTCAGTCTAGACTCTTTTCTTCTCTCTCACCGCCATGTATAATTACTTTTCAAGTCCCACCAATTTTGTTTCATAGCCATTTGCCGAATACATCCCTTCCTCCACATTTCTAGACACTGTGCCCTGGGCCTCCTTTGATTAATTATAATAGCCTGTTACTCCTTTTTCCTGTCTCCATTTGCTCCAATCCATTCTCCACCATGTTGCCACAGCTAGTCAATCTAAAATTATTTGAGTATGTCTCTCTCCTACCAGTAACTGTTCAGAGACTTTCAAGCATCTAAGCTCGCTAAAATTCTGCAAAACAAGGGGTGAGCAGTGACAAGTCAAGCTTAAGACAGAAACCTGAGCTCCAGAAACAGATAGGTTCCAAGGGCAGAGCAGAGAGAGATCCAGTGAATCATCCAAAGTAAGCAGTAATCAGGGCTAATGGGAAGTTGGAGCTAGATTAGAATTTTCCATTTTTAGAAGGGTGGCTTTAGGCCATAGGCCAGGTCCCACTTTCCTTTCTAAGATCCCTGGGTAAAAAATGTGCACTGAACCAAAGCCTCTTTTTTATCTTCATAAAATTATATCTATATGGTCCCCAACACCCCCAAATTTTGAAGTGGATACCATGTAGTTTAATTAAACTTTCTCTACCACTTGCCACCTCAAATGTTTATTGTTTAATCTTCAACCTATTTTAAAACTGGACAGAATCTGCAGGCCTTAAAAGAAATGAATTTTATGCAAGCAGTGTAACTTGTATTCCAAGGCTCTGCTGACCTTGAAGAATTTTCTAGCTTTTCCACTTTTGTTTATTTTTGGTCACAGGAGTCCCTCTATAGAACCAAAGCCCTGTTATCCATAATTTCTTATCACTCTATTGTAAGCTTTAGCAGACCCCTGGGGATTTTACCCTGTTATGAGAACCTCCAAATTGCATGGCAATCTTGTTTTACAAGGTTCTTATCTCCTTTCCATTTGTTCAGTTGGTGCTCACCAGTGGCTTACAATGTCACCGGAATCTGTTGAAAGAAATAAAGTTTTTGTTCTGCAGGCTCCTTATCTGCAGTTCTGTTTGTGTTCTCCAAACCACTGGTGATTTGTGACATCACTGGATTCCCATGGTGTAACCACAGCCACTCACAAAATTCAACTTGTAATTGTACTCCATTTGTTCATCATGGTTCTCTAACATTTTTCAGGCATGCCATTTTTCCTTTATTACTTTAAAATTCTGGCATTTACAGGGAAAAATTCTAAATTATTCATTTTGCTTAAAAATATATTTTCAATTATTAGGTATGAATATAAGTATTAGGACTGAGAGTGATAAAAAGCAACTCACAATGTTTAATAGACTCATGATTAGGAAATAGTATCATCAGTTCAGAAATGGTAATGAGTATATCTCTTTAAATGGTTTTTCAGGAAAATGTATCAATTAATTAAAAAATGGTCAAATACAAGACAGAAAACATAAATAAAAGGGAGTTTTATTTTTTTTAAACTTGTTTAGTCTTATTGTAAGATAAATGAACTTTGAAGTTAGTCTTATAAATAATAAACAAGAAGGCATTATGTGGAAGTCTAGTATTATAAAAGCTTATTTGAAAATACTAAGTTTTTACTCTTTAAAAATGGATTTTGAGTTCAAATAAATTAGCAACAAAATACAAAAGCCCCAATAGATAAAATACCAAAGAATGTGACTAGTTGATAAAGGAGGAAATAGAATGCAAAAAAATAAATAATAAATAATAAATAATTTAATCAAACACACACATAATTACCTATTAGATAAAGTTATAATCATAATACACATTGCTGATGAATATATAAGTAAATAAACACTTTAAATCATTGATATATGATGATAAGAATCTAAATTTGTAAAAGTGTCATTTGGATAGCAAGGTGGGCAGACAAGACACTTCAAACCAGTTCTACTGACTAACCAAGCGAGCAGTTTTAGTTTTAGAAGCTATTGTATGGAAATATTCTAGAATAACAAAAGAGTCTTTATACCTCAAAAAATGCTCAACCCACTATTCTTTAAAATGTCTAATAAAGAAGAAGAATGAAATAAATCATAAGCCATCTATAAACCAGAATGTAGAATAGCATGAAGTGAAGAGTTTCAAATAAGTAAGAAAAGGATTATTTATAATCTCAACCAAAAGAACAGGATGTAATTTGCACATGTGGAGTAGAGTATCAAATATGAGAAGATATTTATGAAATAAGGCTAGAAGAAATACAAAACAAGTGTGATGGGATTAGGGATAATTTCTATTTTAATCGCTATAATTTTCTACATTCTTCAAGTATTCAACAAGAAGCATGATTTACTTTTATTATTTATTTTTAAATGTTTTAAATTATATTTTTGGAAAAATGACTAGTGGCATGGTCTTAAAATTAACTTTTAGTTTGGTTGTTTGTAGTAATAATGTGTGATTACAGTTTTCTAAAAGGCACTAAGAATTACTACCATTATTAATAAAATATTTGGAGACCCTTTAAAAATGACTCTATTTATTCTAGTTTTGGGGATTATAATCAACTCGCTAGTTCACATACCTGTTGCGAGAAACAAAATGACTCACACCTAACTAAGGTTTATTTGCTTTTGAATCTTTGATCAGTGTTTGCTTTTGCTGGTCAAAGTGCCTCGTAATGTTGAAGTTTTAATCTGTCTTCTCATGAGAGAGTGATTAATGCTGTCTTTCTGTGGCAAGGAGATTAAATGGAGAACTTTGTGATCATCCAAATTAAATTTTCGATTAGGTGGAAAAATGAAGTTTGAGGTTTTAGTTTTTAAAATGAAATAATGATCATGTAAATAGAATAAGGGTCACACGGAACATCTATTTAACCATGTTTGGGCAGTTTATTTGAATGTGAGCAATATCTGGTCCTTTAGACAGTTCATCCCTCCAAGGGAAGTTGCGGTTAGATTAGAACTTTCCATTTTTATTTAAAAGGGGGACCTTGGGCCACAGGCCATGTCCCACTTTACTTTTTTAGATCTCTGGCTAAAGGAACTCTATTAAGCTGAAGCCACTTTTTCATTTTCAAAAGAAGCAAATATGTTTGGTCTCATAGAACCCCAAATTTTGAAATGGATGCCGTGTAGTTTAATTAACCTTTCCCTACTATTCGCCACCTACAACGTTATGACACTTTGGAAAAAGACAGCACCCATCTGTTAAATAGACCCTGCTCTATTTATCTCTGTTCACACAAGCCCAGCACACAACGCTTCTTGGCCTGAACTGACAACCACTGGAATCAGAGCTGGAGCTGAGGAATCAGAATGCATCAGCTCCCATAGTGTATGGGCGTGTGCAAATTTTTCATTTATCTCTTTTAAATTCTCCATGCTTTACTTTTATCTCCAGGACTTCGTTTCATATTATGCTCTGGACCCCTTTCAGATGGGCTGCCTTGTAGAACTTTTGTGTCAGCCAGAGAGGGTACAAATTTCACCTTGATTTCCCAAGGAAGGGACCAAAATTATGACAGACTGAGGAAGACAACAATGCTCTGGGATAGGCTATATTGTCCTAGCAGGTCACATGGGTCCTGACAACATGGAAAGTGTGGTGGTAATGGGGACCATTGTGTCAACTGTAAACAAGGGGTTATAGTGCCTTAACAGTGTGAAGGCAGGGGACTTAGGCAGCCATATGACATACCGGGGGCACTTCCAAATTTTAGAGCTAAGAGTCTATTTTATTTTCTTTTGTACTTCATTGCATTCTTTCTCATGCTCTTTTCATTCAAAGATTCAGTCCCAAGACAGGATTATGATACTCCACCAGCTGTTGTGTCAGGTAGGAAAATTCTAATTCCTTTAAGACTTGATTGGAGGGGAGAGATGGAAGTTGCCTGGTTTTCTCCAAGACTCTTTAAAGCAGTGATTCTCAACAGGACTGGGTGCAAGGAATCTGAATTCAGTTACAGAGCAAGGGGGTGGAGAGTGGGGTTGGAGTAGCATGGTTCAAAAAAGTATATTCAATATTCCAATCAGCTTCGTGTATGGAAAATAAATATGTCACTTTTGAAATACGAAGTAAGGGCTCAAAAACATTTGGTCTGTGAAGGATACACGGAAAATAGAGCCTCTGTTCTGTGTATCAGTAATTCTCCGTGTTAGGAGGGTTCATCAGAATTTTTGGGATGTTGAAGAATATACTCATGTTTATCAAAAGAGGGCACAGATTAATAAAAAAAAACATAGTTTGAGAAGCACTGCTTTAGAGACCAGGATTCTTCTGAAATCAGAAAATCATCCCATTTTGCTTGCTTAGCTCCCAGCATAGTGTCTGACCCATAGTAGGTGCTCAATATAATTGTGTGTTGAATGAATCAAAACTTCCAATTTGTTCCAAAAATGGTGTTTTGGATATTGAAAGAGAAGCTGCCAATGTTCCATCTGTACAACAAAGTGGCAGGGATTGATTGAGAATAAATTAGTGTCTCGAGGATTGTAACTAGCGGTATTTAAGTTATTTTATAACATTTAATGGTGCAGTTTATAAAAGGTGTATGTATGTGGAAAGGTAGGTTTTCATTTGAATGGCACAGATCTTCTTGTGCTTTCTTTCATCTTAACTTTGAATTTTGCTTTCTTGTAAAAGAAAAAAAAAAAAGGAAAGGGGCACAATTTTTCATTTTTGTTGCTGTTTTTTTTAACTAAATAAAATGCTGGAAGCCTGAAGAGCTTTGAACACTTTGATCCTTTGATGTGTTAGATGATGAGGATATAAAATCCAAACCAAGAGGGCATTGGAGAAAGAGACGGAGGCCAGAAATAGAATTGAAAGAGCCCATGAGGCAGTCAAGTCTGGCAACTGAATGGTGGTTTTCAAGCAGAGAACATCATGTTCTCGGCCACCTGGTTTACATGACCAGCATCTGAAGGGTAATCTTTTCCTCATGTCCCGTGGATGTGCTTAATTATGCTCATGGATGAATATGCATCTTACAAGTTCAACTGTGAAACAAGGAGTTAGGATTCAGCTGTGAAGTTGCTTTGGTCCTCTTGGAGAGCTCTATAAATTGTCAGTAATAAGTAAAAGATCACTTATCTTACCCCCAAGTGTATTACCTGTCATATCTTAACATGCCTGTTTCATTTAGGGTATGGGACACACACCCCCTGCCCAGAAAGATACTTTGTTTAATGTACATAGCCTTTACTTTGTTTAAAATGTGGTGTAAGAAGGGGCATCTACTCTTGATAGTTCACCAACATTAATAATAAGAAAAGACACAAACTGGAACTTTCCTTCGACTAGGTTTGTTGATTTCACTTTGAAGAATACATTGAAAAAGAGCAATGAAAACATCAAAAGCACTTACTAGATATCAGCCATTGGTCAGGCTGTACACATATCAATTGAGGTAGAACATCAGACTGCAAACATAGGCGAGGAATTCCCACCTAATTCCATAGACAGGTAGCACTGAAGTTCTTGAGCAGAGAAATAATTTGATCAGAGAAGTTATGCTTTAAAAAACAAAATCTGGCAGTTTGGTGTGTGCTTGAGCAACAAAAAATGTAATCATACAGAACAGTTAGAAAGCCCAGATATGACTATGATATTATTAAGAATTATATATACATATATTCAAGATCTCAAAAGTGGAATACAAAAGAAGTTACTAATGTACAAGGGACAGGAAAATGAACATTTTGGGAGATTTTATAGTTGTTTTCCTCTAATACATTTGAATTGATTGTTTGACATCTTATAAATTTACACAGACTTCTTTGATAATTTGGTCTACATCTAAATGAAAATAGACTTGCCTTCCTAAAATGTTTGTTAATTGCCTAGTGGGCACAACTTAAGAGACTTTTGAAAAATAGCATATCTTTTGCCCCACCTTTGACCAAGTCAGAAAAGTGAAGCAGGCAAAGGTGTTCTAAATTTTTTTCCCCCATATCTACCCATATTCAGTATTGGACAACTCAAATAATAGTCAATTCTTTGTCAGTGTAGGAACCCAATAAATAGTCATAATGTATCAGAACTCAAGATATCTGCTTGGTAATCTACAGAGGCATAACCCAACCTAATTTCATTCAATCAATATGTCAAACATTTATTGAACACCTTCTGAGTGTGAGGCACTTCACTCAAGTACTAAAGATATGCAAATAAATACAAAATAGACAATTGGTAAAAAAGAAAAAAATTATAGTCTAATTTAATATTGTGTTTTTTGTTGTTTGTGATGTTTAAACGTATAAAGTATGAGGAACTAAAATCTAGAATCTAAAAAGATCAGAAACCTTCAGAAATAAAATGAAGTCTGAGTTCCATTTGGGTGGAAGAGGAGGAGCTTACCAGTTGGACAAGAGTGGGAAAGGTACACGAGGCAAATGGAACAGGATCTGAAAACTCTTGGAGACAAACAGTGTGAGATGATGAGATGACAGCAAGGCATTTGTCATTCTTGGGACAAAATGTTACAATAGCAGACATTGAGGCTGGGTCGGGGTAAATATGATTGTAGGACTCTTTCCTCTTTGAGTCACATGTCACTTTGTTCTTTTATTTATAAAATAATATTTATTGGGAGCACGCTATATGGCAATCACTGTGTAGGGTGCTAAGGATGCAACTTACCTCTAAGAAGCTAGGATCCAATTAGGAAGTTAGGCACAAAAGATGATTACAACACAGTGTCATAAGTGCTTCTATATGGACAAACACACGATGTTTAAGTTTGTGAGCTCTCCAATAAGATGCCTGAGTTCAGAATCTACTTGTGTAACTTCCTGGTTATGGAGCCTTAGGAAAATTACTTAACTTCTCTGTAACTTAGATTACTTATCTGAGGAATCAATAACAATAACCTAATAAGTTGTTGTGAAAATAAGGTAGGTTAAGATATATAGCCTGCTTAAAACAGAGCTCAGCATAAAATAAGTGCTCAAATTTTGTTGGCAACAACTATACTAATCACTGTTGTTACAAGATGCTGTGACAGCACAAAGAAAAAAACACTAGCACGCAGTAGTAGAAGTCAGAGAAAGTGGAAGAAACACGTAAATGGAAACATAAGGATACATGGGAATTAACCTAGTAGAAACTAAGTTGGAGAGAAAAGTTTCAGACCAAGAAGTCAGCATATACAATAGCTCTTGGGTAGCAGGGTATGAAAAATTCAGGGAGCTACAGATGGCCCAACAGGGCAGGGATACAAAAAAAGAGATGGGAAGTAGAAAAAGTGAGCCTGGAAAAATAAGCAGGAGCAATATCATCAGATATGGTAACTTGAACTTTATCCAGGTGGCAATAAATGTACACTAAAAGGTTATCAATTTGGAGAGTGACATGATCACTGTGGATAAGGTGGAGAATGCAATGGAGAGAGACAAAACTAGGAAAGGGGGACCAGAACTCAAGAGCCCAAGCATGAAATCAAATTGGCATGTGCTCAAGTTGTGGAAATGAGATTGGAGAGTTGACAAATTTGTGACAAATTGAGAAAGTAGAATACACAGGACTTAGTAACTGTTTTGGATGTCAGGATAGAAGGAGAGAGAGTTAAAGGTAGCTAGTGCTTAAGTTCCTAGCAACTCAATGACCTGAGAAATCATTTGCTGGGATCTAAACCAGAGGAAAGAAGATTAAGTTTGGCAGGAAAGAGGCCAAGTTCAGTGCTATTCATGTAGAGTTTGAGGTGTCTATGAGGCATCCATATAGACATAATCATTAAATATCTGGATGTATATGTCTGAAGCTCAGAAAAAAGCTCTTAGCTGATGGTGGATTTTGGAATTATCATCATGGAATTAAGTCATGTCCCCCAGAGAATGTGCTTAGAGTGAAGAGAAGTTGGCAGATCCTTGAAAATAAAAACGGGCAAACAAATAAGCCTAAAATAAAGATTGGAAAAGACGACAATAGACAAAGAAGGAAAACCAAGAACATGAGGTTCCAAAAGGAGCAAAAGCAAGAGAGTATTTCAAGAGAGGCCTGTTCAGTAAGAAGCATCCTGAAAAGAAGCCATTGGATTAAGTTACAAAGAAGTATTAGTCAATTTGATGGGGCAGTTTTCAGGGGCGGGGCAAAGACAGTGAATGTCCTGTAAGGAAGTGGATGTAGCAAATGCCAGAAACTTAACAAATTTGGCTTTCAAGAGCAGTAGAAAAGATAATAATAGAAAACAAATGGAGAATGGAACTGAATGATTTACTGATTTTTTTTTAAGATGGAAAATACTTGGTCAGAAAAGAGTTCTAAACTTTAGCATTATAACTCATAAAGGGGATGACTGATAGAACAAGGTCACTGAGGAAGCCAGACACTTCTAGGAACGTGAGAGGACAGAAGGAGGGATGACATACATGCTGTAAGTTTGTAAATGTAGCAATAGGAAGTCAAAGGGCTTCCTACACAGTGAATCTTATTTGTTTCTATGTGAAGTAATAAGTGACGATTTCTGAGAGTGAATGAGAGATGGCCTGGTAAGGGACTTAAGGAGAACAGAGCTGTGGGGTAAGAAAACCAACTAGTAATATATAAAAAGCTTGAAGGGCAGCGCCGGCGGTCCATTTGAAGCTATAGACTAGGGTTTTGTTTGATACCAACCTGTGAGGATGTTTGATTTTCCTATCATGATCAGTAGCCACAAAGACGGACAGGAGGTTTAATCCAAGGCTAAGATTTTACTGAGTGGAGTGAGATAAGGGACAATGTGTGATGACAATATTGGCAAGAGAGCAACTGAGTGATGAGCTATAGTTTCCAGGATGAATTGAAAGAGAAAAAGAGGGCAGTAGGAGATGGGAGAGAGGGAAAAACAGAGAAGAATG